TGGTCAAATATCAACCCCGGTCGCTTACTATAGCACTTAAGGGGACTACCCTCTATTTTTTCTTTTTTTAAAAAAAAAACATTACAGAATATTTATAATAAAAATGTTTTCAATAAATTTTCAGCACACTGTCATCTTTTATGTTGCTAAAAATTTAAGTCATTTGTTAATTTTTTATTAAATTGTTTACTGTCTGAATCATTAATTTCTTTACGAGATCATTTAAAATCATAGTAACTCTTTTTTCTCAAGTTTCTTAGTTTTTTTTTTCTCAGGGAAAATAAACTCTGTAAAAAATTTCTGAAATTTTTGTTCATTTTTATTATAGCAAGGATCAGAATAAATTCTTTCTCAGTTTTGATCACTTGCTAAACATACAAAGAAATCAGCATGAAAATAGTCACTTATAAATAACTGGTGTTGTATTTGTGTGCAATATTGATGACTACTTTTTAGTGTGTATGTGTTAGCACAAGATTTTTTTTCTAAAAAACTTTGAGCACTTTGAGCATACTCACATATTTTTTTTGCCTGAATGTCCATGGACATTCAATTTCAAGCAAACCAACCAACATGTACATTTTGTTACACCATCTGGGCTTGCTGCAAGAAAAGGTGCTTTGATTGACACTATTAGCCCGGTTTTTTTTTCATTTCCCTGATATCTTTTTGGAGCATAGGACTCAAACATATTACCCCATTGAATTAACATTTATGTAACCTAAAATTTGAGTACACAAATTGAATGCTACCTTTTTATTTTTCACTTCCAAGTTAATGTCAAATTTTGTTATGACAGCATGAGCAATAGATGATGATATTGTTCCAACTCTATATGATAAGTAAACTTTTTGATTGAAATATCGTAGCTTCTTTTATAAGTTCTGCTTGAGATGGTGTTATTGAAAACGTTCTTAAAATTTTTTTACATTTAAATGCTATTGACTCATTCTCATAAGAACATTCTATCTGAGCTACATATTCTTCTATGGTAGGTGGTAGCACTTTTTTTATAGTTGTATTTGAAGGTAATTTTTTCATAAAGTATTCTGACTGTATATCTGGCTTGAGGCAAATCACATCACTTTTTCCATCTATGGCTTCTGTGACTGCTTCCCAATCTTCCTTTGTAAACTCTGACTGCTTTAAATTATAAGGATGAAGATTGTATAAAGATTGACTGAGTTTTGGATTATTATTTTCTAAGCTTGATTTGACTTTTTTAATGGAAATGTTTTGAATTATATCTGGTTCGTGTAGTTTTCTCTTCTGTGTTTTAGTTCCCCACTTTTGTTTTACTGATGTTCAAGTTATATTTTCTCCTAATCGTACATGCTCCTCCATAAGCAATAACAAATCAAATATATGTTTGCAGCTTTCTCCATAACCGGCTACACAATTGCATTCTGCAGTTAATATACTTCGTTTTTATTTAAACATACCCATGATTCATATTCTTCATCATTTATTTTTGTTTGAGGGACTAAAGTTCCTTTTAAATAACAAAATTTTACTGCATCTGATAAACTGTTAAAAGTTACTGAAGTTACATGATTGGAAAAATAAAGAAAATGTCCTTCTTTTAAAGCTTTAGAGCTGTGAGTAAGAAAAGCATAAGTTTCAATGTCCGAATAGTTTGTGGTTGGTAATAATTTTAACTACCACTGTTTTTTCACCCAATTTCCAATTTCAAAAGGATGTGGAAGCTGAACACCTGATTTTAATTTTAGTTTTTGAAAAGATCTGGATTTGATTTTCTTCAGTTTCTTCTTGTACAGTTTTTTTTAATGGTTATTTAAGTTTATTGGCATAATAAACGTTTAAAAAAATTTATTTTTTTGAAAGATTTTCACCAAGAGGAATACTCCTTGCTTGCAGATATTCTTTCAGTTTAACAACATTCCAACTTTTAATTTTATCCTTAAATGGTTTTTTTTTTTTTTGTTTTCAGAGGAAGAACCAGACATAAATAATAGTATTGTTAAAAAACTGTTTTAATAATGTTTGTCATCTATTATTGTTTGTACCTCAGTTATCCCATAATGCTATACGCATGAAATTAAAAAAATTAATAGTGAAAAAATATATAGCTAAAACATTTCAATAGAATATTCTTGAACTTTATTTCACTTAGTCAGCATATTTTTTGAACCAATAGAATTAGTTCGTAAATTTGGCGGGTTTTTAGTGTTCGCGAATATTCTTTTTATTCTTTCGCAAGATGTTTTAAGAACCTTCAAGTTAATTATGTTTTCATGTATGTCCATAAAATTTAAATAATATATATTATTTTTTCAATTTTTAAGCTCCTACCATATGTTATAATAATGGAAATATAAATAATGAAATAAGATCACCTCAATACCAAAAAATACATTTTTGAAAATCAGAGAAAAAATGTGTTAATAATTTTTTTTTAATATTTACAAAGTAAATTAATTAAAGTACATTATTGTTTTAGGTTAAAAATTATTTTATCTAATATTTTAAAAGAAAAACTTAAAAGTACATGTCATAAACAATCAAAATACATGTGGTCCAGATGATTATTTTAAAAAAGTTGTGCGAATAAAATACTATTTTGTTTTTTTAATTTTTTTACAAACACATTTTAGAACCTATAATAAAAATGAATATAATTTTGTAGTTGTATGTAAAAAATAATAATCAGTGTTTTAAACAAACAAAACAAAATATATGACGTCATGTATTAAAACTCCTATGAATTAAACGCACTTGAATAAATTATCAAGTTTGTATAATACGCCTGGAGAATCACGTTTATTTTAAAGACACTAAATACCACAGAAAATGTTTCGACTAAAACAACAAGATTTGTTTTTCTTGACATACTTTTATTAATTAGTTTTAATCAAAAAAAATTTGCTCAGACGTTTTTTTTTAACATTCTCTTTAATATGAACACAACATGTCTCAGGACTTGGTGGTCCCTTTAAAGTTTAAACAGAAAAAACAAAAACAAAAAAAATATTATAAATTATTTTTATCTTCATTCTTTTTATTAATTGAATAATTAGCAACGTTTAAAGTTATAGTTTCTCACTAATAAAAAAATGAGTATTCCTTGATTTTAAAATTAAGGCAGGTATTTCTAAACTATTAGTAACAGTTTAAAAATGTTTGTTTTTAAAGTAATTGTTAGCAGAGTTTCTTAAAAATTCTTTTATTACTTATATATCTATTATATTTTTCTTGATCAATTTATATTTCTATTAAAATTTGAGATATAATATTTATTTTTATCCTTTTTTTTTTTACTAATATTATCTCGAATAACTGTAACCACAAATAAAAAATTGTAATTTATGAGTAAGCTAGTGTTATTACTTTTTGTAGTCGTAAATGTATTTTGTTTTGTTTTTTTGTAAATAAATTTAAGTTAATACTTTAATAATACAGTGTTAACAGTTTTCCATAAACTGAAACTTTAAGGATCAAAAAAGATAGCCAATTGAATATTCCAGATATCACATTTCACCATAACTTAATTCTCAGCCCTTGAAGTATGGTAACTTTTTAGTATTAAGTTTAGAAAAAATTTTGAGGTTTTATTCCTCGCAGAAGTATCTTATACATATCTTATAAATATATATGGAATTTCTTTACCATTATCTTGAGGTTATTTTTTTTTTGTTCAATAGCAAAATATATATTTTGTTATAAAAATATAAATATATTTTGTTCATTAGCAAAATTAGCAAAATGTAATATTTTTGTGTTTATAGAAAATTATTTTAAGATATAATTGTCTCCTTCCTTTTATTTATTTATGATAGCAATGAAACCTTTTCACCTTTTCTTTTTTAATATTTCGATCAGCAATATCATTTGTGGTCTCTAAATTTAATAACCATTTTTTTGTATTGGTAAAATTTTTTTTGAAGATTTGTAACGGTTTTTGGGTGAAGTTTCAATGAATATTTTATAAAATATTTGGTGTGATTATCTTAAAAATAGGTTAGTTAAGTTAACATATAAAATGTTTTTTTCCCCTCAAGTTTGAAGTGATTTTATCTCTTATCTAACATCTGACAGTTTCTAGGTAAGCTTCTGTTTCATGTTTTTTTGTTTTTTTAATAAAATGAATAAATTTTTTAAAAGAATCTCTAAAACTAGTCAGATTTAATTAAGGCAATATTCATTTTTCTTTAAATTAGAAAAATTTTTTTTGGAGGGATTTAAAAAACTTCATTTTAGTTCAAAAATATCTTTTAATGAAACACAAGTACTTTTAATAAAACAACTAATTTTTTGGATAGTTATTTTATTATTTCCAAGATATATTTTGATTACATATAGTCATTCTCATTTAAAGTATAAATATATCTGTTTAAAAGTAATATATAATAGTGAAAAAAGAATATAATAGAAGACATAAAATTGATTACAAATTTCCAATAGATACATGATAAGTTTAGTTAATAAGTTTTTAAGCAAATGTCCAACAAAACAAAACATATTGTTAAAGATTTACATGAACTAAATGATTTCATAAGCACACTAAAATCTTACTTATTCAAATAAGATTTTTTCCACCTTTCTAAGTTTTTTTAATTGAATTTGCTTAAGACAGATCCAAAAGTATTTTAGTCAAAAATGATTTTTATTTATTTTTGATATATAAACATATCTTTATTGAAAATAATATTTTATATAAAAGTATAATTTATAAAATTATTAAGTAATAATTAAAAGTGTTAAATTAGATACGATATAAAAATAACTTGCTATCAGAATCATTTAGCCAATCAGTAGCTCAAAAATAAAATTTAACATAAAAATGACATAATAAGAAAGCCACATGACGCCACAATTGCATTTAAAAAATTAATGTTTTATGGTAATACTTTTTAGCATCTCTTATTACATTTGAGTAATGTATATTTATCACTTTTGCACATCTTTATTACTTTTCAAGATTTTAGTTTTAAATATTCTTTATTATTTTTGACCTGTTATAATAAAGTATTTTTGTACAGGTTGCAATCAAAATTATTGACAAGACACAGTTGAATCAAACGTCCCTTCAAAAGGTGCATTTATATAATAGTTAAATAATTGTAATGAAGTATTTAATTAGTTATAGAGATATTTATCTGTAAGTTAGAGAGTTAATTGTCTATAGTTATAGAGGCAGTTGTTTATCTATATGTAAGAAATGTATTTATTTGTAAGTTATAGAAATATTTATCTATAAGTTGTAGTAATTGTTATTTATCATAATTGTAAGTACTTTAAGCTATTGAGCAATAATAAAGTTATATAAAAATTAAATTTTTAATTTTAGCTTTTTCGTGAAGTTCGCATTATGAAATATCTTGACCATCCAAATATTGGTAAGAATATTATTTACTAGAATATTATTTATATCTGTTGGAATACTTAAAATTGTTATTATCAGTTTTTAGAATAGAGAATTTTTTGCTTCAATATTTTTGGGTTCAAATAATTAACTAATCAATTTAACAGTTTATAGATAAATTTTATTATGTTGTTCGTTTTATTTGTATTACTTTTAGTGCTATTATTAAATTAAAAGTAATTTCATTCTAAATATCGCCTTTAAACTCTTTTTAAAATTTTTTAAAATTCAATATTAAAAGAATTTAAATTTAATTAACATTAAAAGATAATTTATTTTAATCTTATGATGACTTAATATTTTATTTACAACATAGAAGTTATGTAAAATGTATACAGTTTCAGAAAATAAATATTAAACTTTTAAATATTTAAACAATATAGTAAAAGTAAATAATTTTGTCTATAATTGTTAATATTTCAAATCAAGACAAACTGATGGGAAATGTTGTTAATTAATCCACAACTACAGCTTTATAAACAGTTTCTCTCTCTCTCTCTCTCTCTCTCTCTCTAAGTAGCTATATTAAATATAAAATTATGTTAAAAATATTGTATTATTATCTTCAGTTTTAAAAATAACATGCATGTAAAATTGCAACTTTTGAGGATTTTTGCATTTTTCTTACAATCAATAGTAGCTTTATATGTAATATGTTCACTGACAGTGTCTCCAATTCTTTCCTTCTTCATGGTGTGAACCCATAGCATATATAGTAAAAGCATATATAGTAAAATAATAATTTATTTGTATTAATAGAAAAAAAAAAGGATACAAAACATGTAAAGTCTGAATTTTTATAAGGACTATCATGAATATGTTGTTCACACAGATCATGCTATTTTCACTAAAACAGACGTAAAGTAAACAAAATTATTATTTTTGAATTCAAATTTGATGTTTAATTTTTTTTCAATGTTTAGCACTTCAGATAACAGATGCTGGCAGTTACACTTCTCACTTTTTTCATAAAATTTAGTACTTCTTTAATGAAAAGTAGAGAGAATTAAGATCGATTTGAATAAATGTAAAAAAAAGAATGTATTAATAGAATTATGAGCAACTAAATTTGTGAATTTCAGGTTGAAAAATAAATGAACTTTTTAGAAATAAATTTTAATGCAAATAAAGCCTTGCAAGAATAAAATACAAAAGACATTCTATAATTCTATGGCGTTCTATGGCATTCTATAAGTTATTTTTAGTTAGTTTCCATGTAACTGTTAGCCTTTTTTTTATATAAAGGATAATCTTTTATTTCTTATGAGGGCTATGATTCATGGTTGGCAAAAACCAAGTTTTTGAACCAAAAGCCAACCCTTTTAGGTTAATGTTGAAGTCTGATACAAATCTTTAGTAGCAAAGTTTGATTAATTTATACTGAGAGCTATTTTACAGGTGTATTGACTTATACAACAGCTTCATTAATATTCAGGTTGCATTTTTTCTTAATATATAGCTATTTTGAAATGGAGTTGTCACTTTAAAATTTACTTATATTTAAAATATAAGTAGATTATACGTTCTTCAACATGCCTAAGTATCATTCAGGGGGAAGAAATAAGGCTAGTGAGTGGAATGAAGTGAACATATTAAGTTAACAATCAATTAAATGTAATTATTGGAAAAAAGTAGAGAGAATTAAGATCCATTTGAATAAATGTAAAAGAAAGAAAAAAGGAAGCACAAATAGTTTTGCTGAAGTTTTTTAAAGCTTTATTTATTCTTATTTGTCAATTTTTCATTAACAATTACAGATGTAAAATTTTTGTTTAAGTTTACTATTCTTATAACTTTACTTATTTACTAAGGAAGATCATTAGAATGAAGTCAAGAATAAAAATCTGATGAATGGTTAAATAGTCTATCCCAAACTTTTGTTACTATACATTTAAACTAAATGATGCTAATTGTTTCCCAACATAAGAAAAAGCTGAAATGCTTTTTTTTTCCTTAAACTAAACTAACCTAAACTTAATTGAGTTTTGGGTACCAACGCTGCTATGATTATATGATTATAATGCATATATTTAATCTATAGATCCATTAAGTACAGCCAATGTATACATGTTTTGAAAGGTTATCAAATAGGCTGTTATTAAATAAGCTCAAATAAGTTGTTACTACAACATTTTATGCATATAATGCCAAGAAGTACTACAAAATTTTATGCATAGAATGCAATAGTAAAAAAATGCATAGATGCATAGTAAAAAAAATCATTAAAGAAGTACTAAATTTTATGAAAAAAGTGAGAAGTGTAACTGCCAGCATCTGTTATCTGAAGTGCTAAACATTGAAAAAAAATTAAACATCAAATTTGAATTCAAAAATAATAATTTTGTTTACTTTACGTCTGTTTTAGTGAAAATAGCATGGTCTGTGTGAACAACATATTCATGATAGTCCTTATAAAAATTCAGACTTTACATGTTTTGTATCCTTTTTTTTTCTTTCCTTTTAAAATAACAGTTAATTTAACCTTTGGTATATATTAGAAGAGCTGATGGATGTTAAAATGAACATTTGTTAAGTGTTTTTTTTTTTAAGTTTTTCGCAAAAGAATATTTTACTTTAGTGCAGAATGTGCAGTCTTCAACTTTTTTAAAGCAGTTATCTAAATAATAATAAAAAGTTTATTACATTCAATGAACAATATTTTAATTTAAAGTGAACATTGTTGCAAATAGTCTGGACAGAAAAGCATCAAGACTTTAGAGGTGTCTATTTTGAAGTTTATTATTTATCTAAGGAACAATGTAAGAATATGTAGTACAGTTGAACAAAGGTTCATAAATGGAGATATTAAAGCCATGCAGCAGATATTTTTGGACTTAGTTCAAGAAAATAATTTTTAACTAGAAATTCAAATGATTATAATGTACGTCATGGAAAAACAACAAGTCCAATAGTATGTAAGTTTAACAAAATATAAATATCTGTACTAGTGTACGTTTCTATGTACTCAATGAGTTTCTACCTAGTTACTTGTTGTTAGCAAAAAAACTGATATCATTTGGAATTTTTCAGATTCATCAGAATAACGGGGTTGTAGAAGTCTTCTGTAATACGTGAGAAAAAAAGGAAACTTTCTTAATGATTTAAAATCACAAAACATTAATAAAAAATATTAACTGAATGGTCACTTATTGTTCGTGCTTTGTCATCTAGTCAGAAAATTGGCATGTTTGGAGGAAAATTTTCTTCTACAAGAAATGTCTAGGGTTAGTTTGAAACCAATTATTTATGAGCTATAAGAATACACATGGAAGTTAATTGAGTTAAACAATATTACATGCTTGTAATGATGGAGTTTTGCTATTTTTCTCTGTCTTCAAGCATAAGAACATTTTATAAATATGCTTTACAAGCTTTTACAAATTTTTTTCAAGGTTGTCATTTCCTAATGTCATTTCATTGTAAACATGTCAGTAATTTTAGGTTAACCACATTGTTGTAGAAGCACAGGTCATCTTGATAACAATTTCAACAAGTTTACTTGCTTGAGCCTGAATTTTTAAAGATTAGAATTGGTTTTAATAAGATGTTTGATCAAATGATTGCCATCTTTCTGGTGAGGAAAGTAGGAAAGTGGTCTTCTTTCCTCTGTGTAAATGCATCTTAAATTTTTTTCTGAATTAATATTTTTTCCACTTAATATTAATATTTAAATATTTAATTGTTAATATTTAAATATTTAATTGTTAATATTAAATATTTAATTGTTAATATTAAATATTTAATTGTTAATATTAAATTCCTAATAAAAATGATTTCTTTGCGGGAGTAGTAGACAAATTTTTAAGTATCATCCTGATCACAAAAGCAAAGTTGATGATCAAAATAGTAAGTTTTTTCTAAGTAAATCAGTAAGGCTACGCTTTAAACATTTGAGATAAAGAGTTTTCAAAGATTACTTATAGGGTGATAAAAAGTTTTTCAGTTTTCAAAAGCTAGAAGGAGGGATATTTATAAAGTCTGTCACTAAAGAGTTTTAGTTTAAAAGTTAGATAAAAAACAATAATATTTCTACTAGTTACTATTAGACTTAATTTGAATTAGTATATATCATACTTTTTGTTTCATTTTACTAAATAATCACTGAATGTTTGTTTGATTACTTTTATATTTTAGTTAAACTCTATGAAGTTATTGAAACAGATAAAACACTATATTTGATAATGGAATATGCAAGTGGAGGTAAGTTCTAAAGATTTACAGTCTTTAAAGTTTAAGTGGCTTAACTTACTATGATTTGTTAGCCATTGTAACTGCTTAAAACAAGTAGTTGATATTAGAAAGCATATAAAAGCAAACTTTAAATTAAAGATATTACAAGAACAATAAAAAATGTAAAATTTGTTTTATAAAAGATAAATACGGAGAAGAATATCTGATAAACTTTTTTGTAAATACTCTGTTACTGTTAACAGTTATTATTTTAAATACTCATGCATATGAAGTTTTTTTATAAGGGTGATTTTAAAAACTTTTTGGGGTTTAATATTTTTTTTGTTAATAAAAATTTGTTTTTTTTTGACAAAAAACATATAGAAACGACTGTAGCTACAAAAGTACTGTACTCACCTTAATTGAACATTTGAATTAGAGTAAACTAATAATTTAGTTCCAATTTTAAAATTATTTGATATAAATGTGGTTCCAAATTTTAAAATCTTTGGAGATCATTCTGACCCCTGTAACTATGTCTGATGTCTATTATTAGCAAGCTCTTTCAGTCTCTAATCAACAAAATTTTAACAACACATCTTGATTCTAATAAATTACTCTTTAACAATCAATATAATTTTTTATTTTCTTGTTCTACTGCTGACTTGCTAACTGCTATAACTAAAGCTTCTATTATGCATTAGATGGGGACAGCAAGGCAAAAGCTGTTGACTTGCTAACTGCTAAACTAAAGCTTCTATTATGCATTAGATGGGGACAGCAAGCCAAAGGTTATTGCTCTTGATATATTTCAAGTTTTCAATAAAGATTTCGATGCTGGTCTTCTCCATAAGCTTGCTTTGTATAGTGTATTTAGGTAAAATTTTGAGTAAATCAAATTATTTCTTTCTAACAGTTTATTAGTCTTCCTTGAAGGTACTAACCTTGTTTCTGTGTTCTTTCTCATCTACATTAATGATCTTCCTGACAATCTTACATTCAAAGTGGTTCTATTTGCTGACGATACAATTTTATATTTTAGTCTTGACAAAAAGTCTTTTCTTTTCGATCACTTATAACAGGCGCATGATCTAGAATCTGATATCACTTTTGTAACAGAAAAACACAATATTCTTGACAATCCTATATTAATAAATGGCAACCCTCTCACTAAATCTTTTTCTTTATATTTTCTTGGATTATTGTTCACTACTGACTACAAATGGAAGCCATATATACAATTGTTTGCAAAGTTAACATAATGTTGGCTAAGGTTGCTTCTCTTTATTGCTATTATCTTACTAGTGATTCCGTTCTTTACCTCTAGAAATCTCTTATTCGTCCTTGGTCCAAAAATGCATTGTAGTTGAACCTCTATCTGCCAACCTTGAACACGATCTTTGATCATGGTCAAGATTGGCAGATGAATCCATGATCTTTGATCATGGTCGCTGCTCAAAGGAAATATCATCTCTATTTCCATCAACCAAAACTAATTTGACTTGTCATTTGGTAAAATCTCAACTTTTTACTACCTGCATGCTCTAAAAACTTTTATTTGTCTTGTTTTTTTTCCTGTACTTCAATTCTTTGGAATTCTCTTCTATCTTCGTGTTTTCTTTTTAAGTCAACAGTTTTTTTTTTCTTTAACTCTTTTCTTTGTTTTCTAGTAACTCCCTAATAGTTGCTTGTTGCCTTGATCAAAAAAAAAAATGCAAATGAGTAAAATAATTAAACAAAACTTACTACAATAAATGAAAAAAAAAAGCTTTTTAATATTTTTCTTATTAATCAACTATCAACTTTTGTAATAAATCGTATTTAATTCTCATAATTCTTAAATATTTTGTTATATTAAATTCTCATAATTCTGTTTTTTTTATTTTGTCATAGTTCTTGAAATTGCTGTAGTTTTGATAAAATTTCAAATTATTTAAATAATCTCTTGTAGACAAAAAAACTTAAAATCTTTATTATTTGCCATTATAGGAGAAGTATTTGACTATCTAGTGGCACATGGAAGAATGAAGGAAAAGGAAGCCAGAGCTAAATTTAGACAAGTAATAATTTTAATAGTATTTAATAGTAGTCTTCTATATGAAAGAATTTTAAAATTTATCTTTTTAAACAAGATTCTTTATACTAATCTTTTAAATGCCTTACCCTTCAAATTTAGCAACTTAGTATATAGCCTCACCCTTCAAATTTAGTAAATTAGTATATAGCCTCATCCTTCAAATTTAAGCAGATATATTGAGGCTTTATTCTGTTTTATCTAGTAAATGTTTTCAAATAAAATTTCTAGCAGTTGTAATAAAAAAAATCTGTAAAAAAAAATGTATATATATATATATATATATATATATATATATATATATATACTTGCATACTTGCATACTTGCATATATACATAATATATATATATATATATATATATATATATATATATATATATATATATATATATATATATATATATATATATATATATATATATATATATATATATATATAATATATATATATATATATATATATATATATATATATATATATATATATATATATATATATATATATAATATATAATATATATATATATATATATATATATATATATATATATATATATATAATATATATATATATATATATATATATATAATATATAATATATAATATATATATATTATATATATATATATATATATATATATATATATATATATATACATAACATACTTGCACTAGGATGTGTCAAAACAGTCAGAATCTTATGGGTATGATATAAGAGTGTTACCGTATAGTTATATTTTTTCAAGAATCATTTTGTTTTATTTTTTTAAATGTTTTTTATTACTCTTAATATTTTTTTTTTTTAGTAAAGTTTTTTTGTGTCGTTATCTCTTGTCTTGTCAGCAGGTTTTTTGGAAAATGTTTTTAAAATATTTAAAAAGCTGTGGTCAAGTTGTTTTAATAAAATATATGCGTGGACAGGAGTAGAGTGTGATCACACAACATTCCCAACAAAACCTGGTGCATCTAACAGTTTTAAAATGATGTTATTGTTAACAAAATCTTTTATTTAAGCCATAAACTCTACACTTCTATCTTCATTTACCCAGCAAGTCCTACTTGATTAATGTACTGTTTTGTTATTTGTATTATATACTACAATATAATAATTTAGGAGTCTAAGTTAAAAGTTAAAGTTCCTTAAGTTTAAAGTTTTTAAATAGTTAGAATATATTTTTGATTGAATTTTGCAATAATCATTCTTTTTTATAAAACTTTTTTCCTGCACACTTTTGAATATTTATACTTATCTTCTTTTTCAAGAAAAAAAAAAAATCTTAAAATCATAATTGGGCATTCTATTATTTTCTATTACAAATTCAGTAAAAGTATACGAATATTCTGAACTAGTTTAGAGAACTCTATTTTGAAGCTGTCTCCCTTGGCACACATCCCACTCACTGTGGCGATGTAAATAATAGAACAGAAGTCCTTAATGAAAAGTTAGTAATATTCATAAGGCATAGATTTTAGTTAAAACATTAAATTTTTATTCAAAACTACTTTTTAAAATATTTTAATTTAAAATAAATACCTAACACTTAGCATTCATAGCACAAAATCTACATATATAGCACAAAACATACATATACAGCAGGTAAATAAAATTAAAACCTAAAAACAAATAATAAATTTGATTGGAAAACCAACAAAATGAATGTTTTATTATACTTTTTATAGTAATAAAATATATATATATTTTATTTGTGTTTTTATAGTCACAAATGTTTTGTTTTTATAAGTGTGCTTTGTTGAGGTATTGGTGTAAATTGAGGTGACATTTTTAGATATGGTGACCTGTAACAGTCTCATTAACATCTCTAACTTCTTTATATTTTGTTTGTATTAGTATTTTTTGTTGCTTTTGATGATCTATTATTGTTGCTGTTTCTACAGAGACATTAAAGCATATAATTAACCTTTAAGCTTCTTGCATAGCAGATCTTGGTACTTGTAATCTTGGATATTTATTGACTTTGATGCTTAAATGATTGATTAGAAGTATCACTCTTTGTTATTTTTAGTTTGATTTTTTCTTTGTTTAATGGTGAGATGCCTGTACCACAAAACCCTGCAATAGCATTTGCTCGATCTATGAATTTTTTTAGTGAAATAAAAACTAAATTATAAATGTTTCCACTGATAGAATTTATAATATATTCTATTTTTAATATCTACAGTTAATAACCCTGAAACTTCAAGGTTATTAACTGAAGGTTATCACACTTTATTTCAAACAATTTAATAATTAAGGTGTAATTTTTATTTTTTTTAATTTTAAGGTTGAATATTATTCAAAAAATTATTGCGATATCTAAATGCAGCATTAACAAAGTTTTATTTTATTTAGATAGTTTCTTCTGTTCAATATTGTCATCAAAAACATGTTATACATCGTGATTTAAAGGTTTGAGATGTTGTTTTTTATACGTTTTATAAAAAGATGGAGTAGAGTATAAGTATGCTCAATTTAATTTTTAAAATATTTGCTTGGAAGATAGATTAAAAAAATTATATTTTTTGATTCATCATTTAACATAAACATTTGTATTATTAAATTGTCACAACATTTTTTATTATATGTAATATTTTTTTATTATATGTTATATTTTATTATGTTATATCATATGTTTATATGTTTAAATTTTCATTTTATAAATGCATGTGTTTTTGGTTTTCCACATTCAATTTTTTTTTGGTTTTAGGCAGAAAATTTGTTGTTAGATGCAGATATGAACATTAAAATAGCTGATTTTGGATTTAGCAATGAGTTTTCTCCAGGAAATAAATTAGATACATTTTGTGGTAGTCCTCCATATGCTGCTCCTGAACTTTTTCAAGGAAAAAAATATGATGGTCCAGAAGTCGATGTATGGAGCTTGGGTGTGATTTTGTATACATTAGTTAGTGGCTCATTACCATTTGATGGCCAAAATCTTAAGGTACGCTTTCTTTTTAAATAGCAGTTATAAGTTGTTTTTTTTTTAAATCTGTAATATATGTTTTTAATAATAGAAATAAGTTGATGCCATGTTTATTTAATAGATAAACTTGATTAAGAACCTAACTATAAAATTTTCAACTTTTTAAATATATTATTTTATCTTGGTCTCTATTCATTAACCAAGGTAAAGGAAATATGAACATGATTGGCTTAAATTAAGTGTCACAAATCACAATTGCTTTATGCATTATTTTTTCCCAAATTGTTTTTTTGTTTGTTTGTGATTTTTTTTCTTTTCTATTTAAACTTTTTTTTTGTTGAGCCATTCCTAAAAATATAGAATAAATATAGAAATTTTTTGTCTGAGGTTTTTAGTAGGGCTCATCCATAAAATATCTCATAACCTTTATGGTTAAAGTATATCACACTAATTTTACCTATAATATAAATCAAAACAACCATTAAGTTAACTTACTAAACTGAGCTAATAAATTTACTTAGTATGCTTAAAGACATTTGCCCACAAAAAGTTTCAATTTATATTTTTTATGTTATTAACACATAAAAAGCTTTAACTAAATTTTTTTTAAATAAGAAATTCTGAATAGAATACAAAAAATACTATACCATTTTTTTAAATATTTTCATTTTATTTAAAAAAATATCAAGATGTAACATTTTCAAGAAATAAGCAAGATTTTTTTTTGAAGTTTATTTAAAAAAAAAATTCAACAAGAGAATTTTAGTCTCTAAAATCTCTTGTTTAAACAAATTTGAATTTGAAAATTAAAATTTTGAAAAATTGTTGAAAAGTTTAAACAAAAATTTTTAATTGCAAAAAGACACTCTCTTTGTGAAATTTCGGCATTTATTTAGAGTTATTATAAATTTAAATGAATTGAAACTGCAGGATGTCCGTAACAGAAATAAAATTATAAGAATAATAAAAGTTCTTGAAAACCAAACATGAAAAAGTTCATAGATCTAGCAAAAATAATAGATTTTAGCGACATTAACAATATCAGATTTAGATATTGCAAGCATGGAAAATGTTTTATTGCAAACGTTAAATGAGTGAAATAAAAACTAGATTATAAATCATTTAAATTTAAAAAAATCAACTATTCTAATTCTGTTCAAAATATTTTCTCTTTTCATAATATCTAAAATATAAATATATTTAAGTATACATGTGAAAAATATTTTTTTAATTGTATCTTCTACCAATTACCTTCTCAGTTGATATAGCAACACTCTACACATGTTCTACCTATTTTGTTATTCAATGTAGCAGCACTCTACACATATTCTACCTATTTGTCAGTTGATGTATGTAAACAGTAAAAAAAGAAATTAAAATAATAAAATTCAAAATGTTTTTATTTCTATTAAAAAAATAAAATAAGTTCAATAAAATTGGAATTTTGTGTTTTTTAAAAAAATATATAAAATTTAATTAGTTTGATTGAATTCTTTTTACATAAAGTGTACTTGGTTTTATCATTTTTAATGAAAAAGACTTGTAAAAGTCATTTTTTACCACAAATGGTAAATTTAAAGCTTCTACTATTATATATATATATATATGTATATATATATATATATATATATATATATATATATATATATATATATATATATATATATATATATATATATATATATATATATATATATATATATATATATAAATATATAAATATATAAATATATATATAAATATATATAAGTATATATATATATATAAATATATATAAATATATATATATATATATATATATATATATATATATATATATATATATATATATATATATATATATATATGAATATATATATATATATATATATATATATATGAATATATATAAATATATATATATAAATATATATATATATATATATATATCTGACATTTAAAGAAACAAAATTTTTTTTTTGAAGTTTTTCAACATTTTCTGGTCATGCTTATTAACGTGCTCTTTAAAACAACAGTTTATGGGAAAAACTTTGTGACTACCATGCAAGACTATATATATATATATATATATATATATATATATATATATATATATATATATATATATATATATATATATATATATATATATATATATATATATATATATATATATATATATATATATATATATATATATATATATTTATATATATATATATATATATATATATATATATATATATATATATATATATATATATATATATATATATATATATATATATATATATATATATATATATATATTCAGAACATCTTTGACAAAAAAAAAATCTGTGTAAAAATTATGACAATTGAGTTATTCAAAGTTGGTAAGACAATATAAATGTTGCAAACTAGTTTTTTTTACTAACATGTTCAAAAACTACTTTGCACAAGTTTACAACATGTAATCAACAAGTTTGCAACATGATGTTGCAACCTTATAAGTTATTATCAATCAGGATGACTATGAACACTTTTTAAACATTTTTGTATCATAGAAGAAAACTGCTAGCCTAATCACTACATTTTTTTTTATCAGAACATTATACTGTCTAGCTTCTTGGAAAAGTTATCGGCCTGATCAACTGGACTGGCAAAAAATGGATTTTTGCCTAAACTTTGTTTCTAAATATATATAAAGTAAATTTGTAAAGAACCATTACAGTGTCTTCGCCACCAAGTTTTTTTTTTCCTTGAAGATGTTTTACCGGCTCAGTTTTGCAATGCAAATTGCAAACTGAATCAAAGTAACACATTATATAGCTCTATTGTGTGTGTTTCTTCACCTTTTAGCAACTTGATACTGATGTTAATTTTCAACCCGCTGTTCATAGTCACCCCTGTTGGTGGTACATGTTGTAAACTTGTAGCTGATGCAAAATGTTCAAAACCTGTTAAATACTCAAAAGACAGATGAGCACGAGTGTCATTTTTACCGACAAATCTTGTCTTTGTGAAATGCATACAAGTTTTCAACATGTTCTCTCATTGAATGAGCAAACATGTTGCAAGCTTGCTTGCACATAACTTAATTTTTTTTTAAGTTTTAAAGTTGTATGCACTGAAGGACAAATCTAGTAAACTGTAGCATTTTTTTTTGCCTGACAACTTTCCATTTCTAAACTGTAAATAAAGTTTAATTTTTATATATAGTATTTTGCTTGTGGCTTTGTATTTTTTTTTTTTTTTTGCAGTTAACAACATAAGCTTTAAAAAATAAAAAATCAAATACCAATATAAAAGAATACAGACATTCGAGAGGAGAATAAAGATACTAAATAACTAGTAATGTCTTGAAATTTAGTTAATAGAATGATTTTTATTTCCTTTATAAGTATTTAACTAATTTAATGTTTTAATACATATTTCAATAACATTTATAATAACTTGCTAAATGTTTTAAAAAAATAATAAATAACCAACTTGCTACAAAAACAGATTGATCGATTTTGGGTATATCCTAAAGACCATTATGTATATAAATACAGTGTTTACAAGAGTAATTACAGTATAAAGGTTGCACTTGGTGATAATAAAGCATTTATAAGTGTTAAAATCAGAGTTATCAGTTGTAAAATAGGTCATTTTTAAAAAAACCCAAATATATTTTGGGTTTTTTTGGGTTTTTTTAAGGTGGGTTTTTTTTGGGTTTTTTTGGGTTGGGTTTTTTTGCCAACCCTGATATATATATATATATATATATATATATATATATATATATATATATATATATATATATATATATATATATATATATATATATATATATATATATATATATATTCATAGTTTTTATGTCATAAAATTATCTTTATTATTTTATTTATGGACATTAAATTTTTTAAACTACTCAAATAAAATGAATTACCGCAAAACAAATATAATTTCCTAATTAGGAAAAACAAATCTAAAAGTGTTATTTTGTAAATGTACATATTGTGAAATACATTTGTTTTTTGTACATTTTGTTTCAATTTTTTTTTTTGTTTAATATTAAATAGACTAATTTATTATTACACTTTTATTGTCATTTATCAAAATTAATTTTTTTCGTTTCTCTGCATTTGTACAAAGGAATTAAAATATGCTTATTTTTTTTTCATTATTTCTTAAAATTGCCACTTTGCAAATAATAGTTATTTTTTACTTTTAAAATGTTAAGCAAAAGTAAATTATTATAAACAAAAAAATTACTTGTTGCAAAAAAAAAAAAAAAAAAAAATCTGTATAACATCTTTTTTTCTTTTTCTTTTTTTTTTTGCTGAACATTTTTGATGGAAATGTTAGGTTAATAAAAATAAAAATCTCTTTGTTTTTTCTTAACTTAATACATTTGAAAATAGCACTAATATCAAATGTAAAGTTCAAATTTTTTTTATGTAATTATCATTCAAACTTCATAAGTCATTTTTATAAAGTTATTACTTCTTTTATATTACCGCTAAAACAATATCTTTAGACTTGTTTAAATATTAAAAGTTGTTATTACAGGTTATGTTCTAGCATGTTGTATAAAAGCTATGTATTGAGCAGGTACACTTTGTAGTACCTGTATATCAGGCTATTTAAAAGCTATATGGTGGGTTATGTAGTAGTTATATCCTATTAACGTAAAAATACAGTCAGATTAAAATTTTGACTAGTTCTTCCTCGCGGTAACCCTGGCTCTCCTACAAATTAAATTAAAGTTTGTAACTTTTGATGCTAAAATATATTTAGGTTAAAAAATTTTTTACTCTCACAATTTTTGTTTTTACATCACTAACACTATTGCCAAATATTTTATAAAAGTTTATTTAAAACATTGAATTATACATTTTATATTGGTAGATATGTAGTGGGTTGTTTTGTTTTTTTCATAGCTAATGCATAAGTATATAGTGGGCTGCATACTTTTGTAGTAGCTATGTTTCAATTCAGGCTATGTAATAGCTATGTAGCAGCCATGAGTACACAGGCGCCATAAGACTAAATAGCACGCTCACAGCGTGCTATTTCGTAGCTATATAACAGGTTATATTATCATAGCTATGTAGTGGACAGGTAGCCTGCGAGCAATGTAATACCTGCATATCTGGCTATTTTGAAGCTATGTAGGGGCTACATTGTAGCTATATAGTGGGCTATGTTTATATTATGTTCAAATTCTTCCCGTGATTGTGCAGACTATTTTACTACTCAATTTAAAACAATTTGCATTTAATTTAATATTAGCACCAAGTTGTCATAAAAAATTAAAGTTAAACAATTTTTTATTATATATTGTCTTGTAATAAAATTTGTTATGATAATTACAAAATTATTATTAATGTCGTTTAAAAAAAGCAACATTTGCAAGCGGCTATTAAAAGAGATTATAAATGTATTTTAAATCAACCAGAATGCTTAATTTGAATTCAAGTGGATGAATAATGTAATATGTTACAATTAGATTAAATTGAAAAACACATGTTTTGATTTGATTTAAGCACTTGATTTAAAAAGTAAGAGAAGAACAATGAATAAAAGTTATTAACATTTCAATAAATCTTGCTATACAAATTAAAACTTAATAAAATTGTGTGACCTTGCTATAACAATTGACCTTGCTATAACAAATTAAAACTTAATAAAATTGTGTGGAACACTTATATCCAAAAATAAAAGATCGCTCCTGATAACTTAAGCATGCATAATTGTGTTCGCTAAAAAAATATTTGAGTTTTACCGGCGGGAAACATCGTGCTGGACAATTTTCTTCATGCCAAGGCCTGCATATATATATATATATATATATATATATATATATATATATATATATATATATATATATATATATATATATATATATATATATATATATATACATACATTTATTTATTTATATATATTTACTATAGCATATATAAAAAATATACAACTGCTGATATGTTTTGATTGTTTTTTTCCATACAGTTTTTGCAGAAAAAGAAAAAAATTAACCATAATAAATAAAATGATTGCTGTCCAACCTAAACCTTTTAGTCAGTTAATGTATATACTAAAGCCCCTTGCATCCCCCTATTTTAGAAATTTAGAATATTTAAGTTATTATGTTGAAAGTAAATGTTTATTTTTAGGAATTGAGAGAGCGTGTTTTGCGTGGAAAATATAGAATACCATTTTACATGTCTACAGGTAGATTTGTTTTATGTGTAAAATAATGTTATTTATGTGCAACCCCAGTCCCAATTTTAGCACACCCCACTCCTAATTGTAAAATTTCCATCCTAGCCCTTTTCTTACATCCTTGCTGTCATCTAATATATCTAATGAAAATTCTTTTCGCATATTTGTGACTTAGTTTAGATCTTAAAGTATTATATTGATTTTAAAGATGAAACACAGCTATTTATTGTTCGAATAAATATAAAACATGAGTAAATGCAATACAAAATCCATTACTATAATATTTTTTCATATTATTGTTACATTTTTTTTTATCCATATTATTGTTGCATTAATTTTTATCCATATTATTGTTACATTAATTTTAAATAGTTGTTCAGGTGTTTCAAAATGGTCTATATAAATTTATACTAAGATCATCAAACAGTTATAGCAAGAGATTTTGCCTTGAATTGTTTTATGTTTCATTTAGTGAATTTATTTTATATGAAGCTTTTTATCAAATTTTCTTTTGCAGCTCTGGCCTTAAAAAGTCTGAAAAAGTTATAAGGAATGCTGTTTTTAATGCTTTCAATTTTTATTTTACATATTTAATTATGGTATTTATTTTCTCAGCTTAAATTAAAGTCAAAATTTTCAGCTTATCATTTCAGCAAGGTAGTCTTTTTAAATTTGTTGAAAATAGGTGTTTTTTAAAAGTAACATCAGAAAAGATATAAATCTTTTCAGCTTTAATATAACTTTATTAATAATTTGTTTTAGTATATGTTTTTCTTCTATGAATGTTTTATTATATAACTTAATTATGCTGCAGTTTTTATCCTAAGTAAAATAAGTTTAAAGTACTAAAAATGGAAATACTAATAGTAATATTTTGAAATAACAAAAATTATAATTGTGCTATAAAAATCTTCAAGTGACAATGATAATTTATTTAAGTATTATATATTTAAGTAAATAAGTAAAAAAAGTTCATTAACTGATTAAATATGAAGTAAAAAAAGTTCATTAATTTTTGAGAGACTGAAAAAATCATTTGAAAATCTAAATTATGGTGCTTTTTTTATTATTTATTTTTGATAACTTGTGGTAGTGGTATAATAGTAAAGTACTCTCTTTGCAAGTGAGGAGGTATTTTTTTTCATAACAATGTAATGATTATATTGTTCCTTAAATTTTTTTAAACCATCAACATCAATAGTTTTCCATTGCCAATTAATGACATCAATCTGGCGTATTATTTTAAACTGCTATATTATATCACTTCTGATCTTTCTCTCAATCAGAGTGGTAAGTCCAGGCCTATCTTTGTATTGCAGTTTTGATATTGAAAAAATTACTTTTTTAGTTTTTTATTGAATGCATTTATAACCTTAATATCTCTTATTTGATATGGAGACCTTGATTGAAATGCTAGTTCTAAATCCGGTCTAATTTATGTTGTGTATAGCAACTTTCACAGATTTAAACCTCTGTGTTGAAATTTTTTGAAAATCTCAAATATTTGATTGGCCTTCATAGTAGCAAAATCTACTTGAGTATTAAACTTGAGGTCATCCAAGATCAATATACCTAAACATTGTTTAATATGGGTCACAGCTAAAGTGACTTGTGCGTCATTGTCATTGTACATGTAGTACTTATAATTCGATTTAGTTGATTCTGGATTGACATGCATAACCTTATATTTACTTATATAAAGTTTCATCAGCCAAATTCTTGACCATTCAACAGCTTTATTGATATCAGCTTGTAAAAAATCAACATCAATTATTGAGCTGATGATCCCAAGCAAATTATATGCTGATGATTTTGCTATCATCAGCATATAATTTATATAACTGGCAGCTCATTAATATACAAGACAAAATAAAGGGGCCCAAGGGCTGATGTTTGAGCTGATATTGAGCTGATGATCATCAGCAAATTATATGCTGATGATTTTGCTATCATCAGCATATAATTTATATAACTGGCAGCTCATTAATATACAAGACAAAATAAAGGGGCTCAAGGGCTGATCCCTGTTGAACATTATTAACTATGTCATTTCAGTCTGATGTATTTGTTTCTAATTTGAACTGTTGCTACCTTTTATTTAGCCATTCTTTAATCCATATAAGAAGCTGAGCACGAATACCATAAAGTTTTAGTAATAGTCTTCAGTGAGGCACTGTATCAAAAGTTTTTTTAAAGTCTGTAAAAATGGTGTCAACAGAGTATCCTTGATGTAAAGCCAGGTAATGTCAAGGGTTTCTAATAAGTTAGTCATGCATTTTAAATACAAATCCATGTTGTATATTCAAGGTGATACTTGAATATACAACATGGATTTGTATATGGCTTCACAGTGATGCATGATAACCTCCCAAATGACTGTTACATTTCCAGGAATTGATGTTATTGGTCTGTAGTTTGAAGCCAGTAGCCTGGTTTCTTAAAAACTGGCTTGATTTATTTGCTTTTTTTCATATATCCAATGCTAAGTGAAAGATTATAGATTATTGCTAAAGACAAAGCCATACTCGAGGATTAATTTGAGAGGACTCATTAGTGGATGCAATCAAATCCAGTAGACTTATTTGAATCAATTGCTTTAAGTCTTCTTTTGATATGCTCATGATTGAAAAAGTGATCAGGAATTTTTTTGCATTGTAGTTCTGAGGGACTCTTAAATATGGTAGTCTATCTGATAGTTCCACAAACCAAATGTAAGAAATTATAGAAAACTTATTGCATTTCTTTTTTTTTCTCACTTGAAATTTAAGTATTTTTGGGATTAATTTTATTTTTTGAACAATGGCCTCTTCATATTCCACTACTTTATAACTTTTTTTACTGTTATACTAGTTGCTTTATGCTCCAATTTTAATTTGTATGAGCAAATAGTCCAGCAGATTTAAATTTAGCCTAGAGTTTGTGGCTTTTATGTTTTTTTTCATTCAAGGTTCATGATCTATAAATAATTTAGAGTTAGTTGTCTGTATATATAACACCAAATTATATTTCCGAATAAACATTTCATAACAATTATTTGCTGATAAGCCAGCAAATAAGTTATTCCAGTTTATTGACTCAAAATATTTGCTTATGCCCAAAGAAGACTTTGTAAATTATTGTTGAACAAATCTGAATCAGTACTTGCAATTAATGTTATTAATATATCTATGCTTATGTTATTAATATATAAATGCTTATATACATAATACAAGCAATATACATAATGAAAATTAATGTTAAATATATCAAACTTATTTTTAAATTTAACTTTTTATTAATTTTAAATTTTTTTTATAATATCATATTTAAAAAATTTTGAAAAGTGGGAAGTATTGTTGTATTTTTTATAATATATCATTAGGAATAGTGCAAATCCGCATAACTAGCATTGGATAATACCATGTATATGCGCTACAGATAGTTTTACAGGAGAAGGTTAAAACTTTATATATATATATATATTTTTTGAGCTCAATTTCGATAGAGCAGGGAAAATCTTTTTCCGTATATTTCCAGAATTCCTGATATTTTTTTCAATTATTAGTTGTCCGGATATCCAAAACATTTTCCATACATACAAATTTAGATATATATTTTTGTAATATTTTTATTTTTAAGGTTTTTTCATTCATCGCTCATAGAAAAATCAAGTTTGAAAAAAAATTAGAAACATTGACCTGGATGATCTATGATAGCAGCCCTCGGAATAAGGAAAAATAAGGTCAGCAATAATTTGCCGACCTTAATCTGTGTGAGGTCGGCAGCAGCTTAGCAGAAAAAATGTAAAACAAAGGTTTAACCATAAAACATAAATACTAGGTCGGGAAATATTTTGCCGAATTTAATTGCTTCGAGGTCAGGATTGCCGAATGCCTGATTCCGAGGATTGATGACAGAGAGCTCAATATTTATTGCATTAATTATTGCTCAATATTTATTGCATCAATATTGGCTGCATTTGTCAGATACACTGTATTATCTAATGCTAGTTTCGTGAATTTGTGCTATTCCCAACTATATAAAATTATCTGGTTTCAACAAACCAGATATTTTTATTGCATGTTCACTGTAGTATTTTTTAATGATTCAATTTGCGCACAAGCTTGGGTTTTTGCTTTTTTAATTTGTGATTATAATAAAACTTTTTGGCTGCATTTCAGTTTAAAAAAAATAAAATAAAATAATAATTTAAAAAAAAAAAATTTTAAATTTAAAAAATTTAGAAAAATAATAGTTTAAAAAAAATTGTATTAGTAATAGCAAATTATTATTGAAATTCTTTTAAAAATAAAAGTGTTTTTGTAGCTAACATATTAAAAAAGGGAAAATCCAAGCATTAGAATATTATTTAACTTTAACAACAATACTTAACACGAGGCTACTTAAAATAAGTAAGATAGCAATAATAGATCAGCTTATAACTGAAAGTGTCCCATGATCAACAGTGTAGTGAATTTTAGTCTTAAGCAAGCAAAGAAGGTTTTCAAAGTATTCTAGACTGAAATCTTGTAACTTAAGTTGAATTCTCTTTTTCAGATAGTTAAGATTTTTTGCTTTGAAATCATAGGAATAGATTCTCTGTTTTAGGTGAGCCCAAAATGTCTCAATGGGCCTTAATTGTGGTACATTTGGTGGATTATTATCCTTAGAAACATAGTTTATATTAAACTTCTTTTTTCAGTTGTTAGCTTTGCGTAATGACAGCTTGCACCATCAGGCCAAAATATATATTTTATATTTTTGTAATGCAAATTGATGAAGGGAACAAGTTTCTTTTCAATGCATTCTTTGGATTAGATTTTTTCATCAATGGCATTATTCTTAATTGCAAAGAAAGGCTTTTATTTACTAAATCTACTGATTTCAATCCATATTAAAACTTTGGCTTAAAACTTTTAATATTATTTTCATTTTTGTCTTTATCTTGACTATAAAAGCAATCATTTTCTGGTGTGTTTTGGCTGCTTAATGTAAAATAGGACTCATAATCCATGATAATTTCAAACTCA